ATAATGTTCTTTTTAGCAGCATCATATGACCCCTTTAAAAAATTACTTTAGTTGCTGCTTTAAATTTTTAAGTATAATCAACTTGATTGGTTGTGTAAGTATTTCAACTTAAATTATAATGTACTGACTTTTAATTTTAATATAGTTATTTCAATGAGTTAAAATAATGTAAAAACAAGTTGCCATGATTTATTAATATGTATATGAAATCAATATATCAAATCAAAAATTAATTCTGCTTATTAGTGAATGATAGGCGTACTTAGTCAAAATGAATCAAGGGGTGTAACTGCAGCTTAAAAATAAAATAAAAATGATTAGATCTGGACCCACATAAATAAGCATCAAGTCATTGATCCAGATACCACTGAGCAGTGAACTATCTATGAGATAAAAATGATTGAAGATAATCAAGACACAAATAAACAGACCATTTGTTTTTCCAGAAAGAGGTGGATCGCTTCAGGAGACTCATCCGTTCACCAGACACGGTGGAGGAACTTGATCGTACGTCAGGATGCAAAGGCTCCAAGCAGCTCACCTGGGATGCTGTTTTCCGGTCTGTTTTTCAGTTCAATCCATTGTTATTCTATGGTGCAAGTTGACAGTGTGCTTATTCTATACTGATTCTTCTGTACAGGTTTTTACAGAAATTTCTTCAAAAAGAGACAGAACTTCTGCAGTCAGGAAAAGCCAACGTTTCCGCCACCACGCATGCAAACCGACAGAAAAAGATGCAGGAAATTAGCAGCCTGATGAAGTATTTCATCAGATGCGCCAACCAACGTAATTATCTGAGTCACTAATACTAGAGTTGCTGTTCATGACAGTACAAGAGAATAAAAGATTCTCTCTGTATTCATAGTAGATATCTATGTGGATGTTTATTACTGTGCATTAGATAAATGTCCATGAAATCCATTAAAGAAAATCACACCTCTGTTCTGCAGGCGGTCCAAAGTTAAAGTGTGCAGAGCTGATTTCTCATGTGGTGGAGGTCTTACAGAGTCCGTTCAGCTGTGCGGCGTACGGCGAGGACTACAGCAATATTCTGCTAAAGAACATCCTGTCTGTCCGTAAATACTGGTGTGAGATGAGCCAGCAGCAGTGGCACAGTGAGTGCATGACCAGTGTAACGTTGATTTGTGTGTATAATTCTTCCTTGTGCGTTCTTTCATTCTTAATTTTTCACGCAGGAATTAATATACTCTATATTCCAAACCTGCATGCATTTTATTAATCTTCTGTGGATCACAGGAGTCAATGGGGCCAACATTGTTCAGAATGCAACATCCTTCAAAAATATCTTATTTTTTTGTTCTGCAGAAGGAAATGCATACAGGTTTAGAATTAGGGCTGTCAAAATGACTGAAAAACTAAATTCGAATTTTCTACTTAAATATGATCAAAATTCGAATTATATTCGAATTTAAAAGGCATAATTTCAGTTAGGGGGAAAAAAGCTTTTGGCTTCTCTCCTGAGGCCACAAGAGGGCGCATCGAGCAAAATATTACTAATGCACGTTTCTTCAAAGCGTAATAAAATAACACGACAATCTTTGAAAAAAAGTGCATAATGTTTAAAATAATGTTTATTAACCATATATAATTAATAAAGTTGCTTCAACAATTAGAAAAAAAACAGCACCATGTATGTATGTATAGTTTAATACAAAGGACCGAAAACCAATCACAAAGAGTAGGCTACTTTCTTCATTTAAAAACATGAGATACAGTGGGATGGGGAAAAACCGCCATAACGTCTTTAGACATGTTTTTTAAAAGTTGAACTTGCATTAAATTAATTTTTCTCTGCGAGACGTGAGTGCAACGCTGATAGATGCCCCGCTAGAAAATGTGATAAATATGTGTTCTGTGTGAACGGCTTGGTTTCAGTTTTGACGTGAACAACATCTTCTCCACACTGATGCTCTCGTTTTCTGCAATATATGAATGAATAACATAGCAGCGCCGCATCTAGCGGGTTCAACTGGATAGGCTAACGAAAGCATTCAAATGCAATCAATGACACATACATCGTCATCGCATCTCGTGCGCCACTGATAGGCTGCCTGACGGCTGACGCAAGACCTTAAAATGTGGATTTTTTTTTTTAATTCGACGAATATTTGAAATTCGACGTTTTTTTTGACGGCCCTACTGCATAATCAGCTTCCAAGGACTTAGGAGATGACATGA